AAAGAGTGAGGCCTCAAATACCATATATTTAGGGTACAAACTATTTGCTTGTTCTGCAAAGCTTCTAGAACGTCCATTGCTTGATGTTGTGAGCCAAAAACCTTATGAATGGTTAATGAAAAAATAAAAGCCCTCGAAACTGCACTGGCCCATGAGTTATTATTATTTATTATAATACTTAGAGATCTTAGACATAGATCACAGACCTCCTTAGCTCTGCTAGATGCTCTGCAAACCATCTAACAGGCTCATCTGCCTGCCTACAGGCTTACAGTGAAGTAAAGAAAAACAAAGATACATTAGACACCATGTTAGCTAGTAAGCATTACAAAGGTGGGAGCAAAAACTCTAGTTGCTAACTCTAGAGTGGACAAGGGTGGAAGTCCCAAAGTGTCCCCCAAAAAACCAGTCTCACTTTCGAAGAACACAGTAGCAAGGAGGGATTCAAAATGGAAAATGGAAGCATTGAGGTTTCTTGAGAAGCCACTCAAAAGGAAGATGCACACGGAGGGGACAAAAAAGCTCCAAGGGGCTTTTGCTGATTTACACCAGTGCAACACGTACCTCTGCAGAGCCTGCAGCATTCAGATCGACAGCTGACGACCTCCTCTTCTTCTGCACAAAGATGGATTTCCGCCTTTTTCTGCGTCTGGCTGGCTTGACATGTCCACTTTTCATGTTGTTATTTTCCCCAATCGGTGGCTTAATGATTTTTTTCCTCTTCCCATAATAATAAGCTGGAGGAATGAAATAAAATACCCATTAAAGACTTTAAGCACCAAGAGAAGGAAACTTTGGCTTGCTTCTTGCTACTGATTCAGTACTGCCACTCTAGGTGCACTTTTACAAGAAACTCTAAAATACACTGATCTGGAAAAAATGTCCAGTGTAAATATAAGATGTCATTTTGGACTACTGCAGTGTTACAGCTCTTACGTATACACATTTATTGATGCTGAGTGAGGAGTTCAGAATTTAACAGTATGTACTTAGGCAAAGCTTCCACTAAGCCAAGCAGTGACTTGGAGGGAGAGAGGCCAAAATGTTTCAGATTTGATCCAATGCACTTCTGCATGAGTTAACAGCCTCAGAGACACTTCCAGTTGCTAATGTTTTCAGCAGAGAGCGGAGAGGGCCAGCTATCCTGAATTATGTATGTTTGCTCAATGCACAAAGGGATAGGTTTTTACTACCTTCAGATATTTCTTGGCCCAAGCTGAAATGAAGGATGTGAGAGTCCTCTGATCTTAGATTAAAGACTTGGGTCAGGCGCCTCTTGACATGCTCTGCAGCATCCTCTGGGGCTGACAGATACTCTGCCCTTCACCATGTCAAAGTTCATAACTGCACTGAGCCTTTCATCAAATCAATGGAGTTTTGAGGAAAAATTCATCCAGCCCCATACAACCATCAACTTTGAGATATGACAATCTCAGCTGGAGCTCCCCTGGGTGTAGTTCTCCAGCTTTCCATTTGCTGCCAGTGAGAGCAAGGAGTCAAGCTCAGATATAGACCTCTACAGAAACCCATGTTCAGTTATATGAGTATCTCCCTGAGCCCATTTCTCCTTCTACTCCAGTGCCAAACAGAAGCTAATTAAGTTAATTCAATCATACTGGTTTCTTGCAACCTTTGTGGGAAAAGGACAGCACTCACTTCCACTTTTCCTGACCTGTTTAAGAGCCAATAATATCAGTTACATTGACAACAAAAAAATGTTGAAATATGCCTAACTTCAGCCTTTCTGAATAGGTAGGAACATGTTTAAATATTAAACACATGAAGCAGAGAGAGTCAATGCTACCAAGCTCCTTCCAGCATCTTGACACCATGATACTGGTCTGTGCTGGTGCGTATGCTGGAAGCTCTTCACCAAGTAGGACAGGATTCATCTCACTTAACAAAGCTGTCTCAGATCAAGTAGTTTAAATCTCAGCTGGCCACTGCAGGTTCCTTTTATGTGTTCCTTATGTTAACTTTACATATGAAGAAAGTGAAGACTTACGAAGAGTAATGACTTTCAAACAGGTCTATTATGATGGAGTGGGATGGACAGTTTTCTGGAGATTTCAGCTCAACATGAATGTACCACACAACTCCTGTTCTTCACCACCAGCTCATGTGCAGTCTCCCACTGCTCTGACTCCCAGCCAGCAACAAGAAGCACTTTAGCCAATACTCACTGTACTTGGTTTTAGTATGAATGGAGCAGTTCTCCGGGCAGACTTCAGCCACCAGAACAGGACTGAACAAGTTGGGGCAGCACTCCAACTTCGCACAGACTCTTCTGCAGAAATCCGCTACCTGATCCGACGTCCGCACTATCTTAACAGTTGCCCTGTATGTCTTCCCTCTGTATCTAGAAAAGAGCATAACAAGACCCCATGTCACCAATCAAGCAATGTCTTTCAATGCTTCAATGTTCTTCAATGAGACCAAACCCTCCTCCGTTAGGGAGATATCTTCCCTAATGACTTTTAGGAGAGTGTGTCTCTTCGTAAAGCAAGCTGAATAGGTCTACTTGTTTTAGTGGCTCCATTTCAGACGGACTTGAGGAAAAGCAGGGTGAAATGATCCTGGAATCAGAGGTGTGGACATGATCTGGGGAGGAATGCATGTGTATATTGGATATATCTGTAGATATGGCAAGAGATGGAAAAGAATCATACAAGGCTTGATGAGGATACACAGGACAGCAAGCCCATACTATGAACGGATGCAAAGTTTTGGGGGAGAAAGATGTACTCTCTTCATATATTGACCTGAGATGAGAAGCTTATATGCCCTGCAGAGCTTTCTGGTCACTACCCTGTGTCTGGGCTGCACTGGAGACTGTCTCTATAAGCCCTGCTTTGGTCTCCTCCATTGCCACCTTTCTCAAGGCAGCTCTCATACCATGTTTCAGCTCACGTCCAGCCCACAGTTTCTTTGTGCCAACTGTGGTTACTGGGATACACAGACTGCGCAGAAGCATCTGAGTGAAACTGTACTGTCTGCCATACGGGGACCAGATGACTTCATCGCTAGGAGATGCGGGCAATACAAAAGCCAAGGAACTAATCAGGAGTTTCTTGAGTTGTTTAACGGGGCTGCGGGAACAGGCTCAAAAACCTGATTCCCACAGGGAATGCTTAGAGCAGAAATCTGCAGCGAAAGGTTTGTCTTAAATTTGTTATCCATGTGCTACTAAAACATTTATTTCAGTGTTTTATATAAAGTGTTTCTGAGTGACAAATGACTAAGAATGATACAGTTACATCCCTGCTGTAATACATTGTAGATGTGAACTCTGAAAAACCAATTATCCTCATAATTTATTAAACAGCAGCACCGAGCTATTGTAAACAGTGAGATAAGGTTTTTAAAACATCCCTTGCACATCCTGAGGAACGCAACACAGGAGACAATCATGCGAGTAACCTGGTGCTAAGGCATTAAAAATGTGCTCAGAGGAGAGAAAAGTAACACACACAAAAGAAAAAGGGAGAGACTGTGAAAGAAAGATTACTCGATGGGAGGCAATGAAAGTCATATACAATCATCAGGAAAAATGAGACAAAGCATTTGTGAGTGCATTAAGACCTATAGTTTCCTAGCAGGGAATCAGCTGCTGGTAGACAGATATGGAAGAGGAGACAGTGAAACCAAGGAGACATGGCTGGAGAGTTAAAACACACAGCATGTGCCCAGACCCTATTCCCTCTCTGAAGGCTTTACCACCTTTTGCTGCTATCTCTCCCAAAAACTCTTTCTGGAAACACTGCAGTATGGAAAAAGGGTTTGAAACTGCAGTACCTGAAGTGTTATTGAGGGGTAACCAAATGAAACTTGGGTCTGAGAACAGCCAAGTCCAACCATCTTCACATTGCAAAGTACTTGACCCAAACTATCACCTCAACACAAAATTCTTCCAGAACCTCAATGAGCATTTCTGAAAGGCACCAAGCTCTAAAACCGCATTTGGTGCCTTACCAAGGACCCCAGGTCATGGAGACAATCTGGGATTCATTCATCCTTTTGAATGAATGAATAAATGAATGAATTAATTAATTAATTAGACAACTCTTCATGCACCCAACAGAGCTGGACAGATGATGTAAAATGGAAAAAGTGTTCCTTCCAGATACAGTGCACTGTTATCCCAGCTTCCTATGAAATAGCTGCACAGGCAGGCTGGCTAATGGTGGTTTGGCAATTCCTAATATCAAAAGAACAAATTCCATAGGCATTTAAATATATCTACTTATAAATGTTTTATATTTCTTTTCAATGTGTTTGATTCCTGCACTTACTACTTCTCCAGGAGCCATTAAGTTTAACGACAGCCCAGATCATTAGGTCAGTGAGTCTGACTCCTGTAACAGCCCACAGAATTTGTGTTACCTTCACCTGAACGCCAACAACTTCGGTTGGACTCAAGCATCATCTCCAGAAAAGCACCAGATCCCCCTCAAGGGTCTCCACAGTGGAAGAATCCTGGCAATGGGAGCACCTGTACGTCATGAGCCAATGCTCCATTTTATGTCTGGATGTGTCTGGATTTAACTTACATTTATTTGTCCTTGTTCTGACTTTCACTGCTAGGATGAAAAGACTGCATCTGGTTTTGTTTCCCTGCAAAAGCACTGTAATCAAATCGCCTCTTGATCTTCCTTCTTATAAGCTAAGAAAGCTGCCTGATGGGTATTATTCAAGGATGGCTGACTTTTTCTAACTGTGTGCTTCCTATTGTGTTTGGCTGCCCAGAAAGGACCCATTGTACTGAAGTGCCTGGTGAAAGAAAAAGATAAAACTAGAAAAATTAACAATGGACTGATTTCAGAGTCTGGTTTGAATGCAACACACAATTAACAGTATGGATGGCAAAATAGAGATCGACATGACTGCAGCAATCAGTTTCAATAACCCAAGGTGTTAGTACTGGCTGGACTAATATTTTTTACCTTATTTTGGGCTTAGAAGTACCTCTTTCAGCTATAAGCCAGGTTCGAGTAATATTTTCCATACTCCTCACACATAAAGATTTTTAACGCAAATGCCACCAAATGTAATCTGAGCTGCTCTAGGACAGCCATGTGGAAAGAGCTCTTTGGATACAATCAGAAAACCCCTTTTCCATCAGCATCGCTCGAAAAATCACCAACTACTGATAATCCTCTTGATATTTTCATACTAGGACTCCTATCTTCCCAACTAATTGTAAGCCATAAGTAACCCGCACGCACAACACGGCAGCATTGGAGAACCGGAAAACAGCTGCATCAAGCATAATACTTTCAGTTTTCTTAGAAATCACTGTTCTTTTGAAAATGAATTTTCAGCCAAAGCCAAGGAAATCTTCCGTTTTCCCCTTCTCTGCCCTCCTATCTCAAAAAACTGGAGGGACCCTTATGGCTGAAACTATTACCACAAAAAATATACTCATGATCTTTGCTGATCCATGAGCAACAATATCAATCTAACAGCACTTTGCTGGCAGTATAATTCTTCTATTGAAGCTTCCTCTGGTGATAAAATAGATCAGAGGTTCATGAGAACTAAATGTCTTCTAGAAGCTCAAATTGGGAACCATTGTGTGATGACACGAAAAGTCTTGTGCTGAAGACACTTCAAACAGCAGGAACATTGAGCCTACCCTCACTTTCAAAAGTCCCATCGTAAGGATTCAGCTCACAGTTCTGACAATCTTGGAGATATTTTGCACAACTCAGTGGCTAAAAGCCTCTATTTCATTCTGGGGAACCAAAAACTCCTATACTTTTGCAAGAAATGTCCAATTTTTCTTACTAGCTTAAAGTCTGCCACAGATGAGAAGTTATCCTTTTCCAAAGCTATTTCATCATCCAGTGACATATTGTACTCTTGAAGACAGGATTCAGAAAGGGAATTGTTCTGGCTGTAAGGATGTGTCTCGTTAAATCTCCTCCTGATTATGGAAGGAAAGGTTTTAAGTCATTTGACTGGTCCTAATGACTTCTATCTCCAATATTTGGGACAGGAGGCCACCAGTTCACACTAATTCACCCCTGCAGTGCCTCAAGAAGTACACGGCAGAGCTGCTGTGGAAGATGAACCAGATCACATGAGCTGTAGCTTTGCAGTGACCTCTGAGGAACACTGTTAACAACTGGCTGCCATTTGGACTTCCTATCACTGACTGGAACACTTTGGGTTCAGTTGTCCAGTCAACTTTCCACACACATGCAATCCACATGTCCACATCTTGGTTATAAGGACACTATGGGAGACTGTGTTGAAAGCCTTGCTAAAATCAACATAAATAACTTCCATTGTTTTTCCCTCAACCACCAAACCAGTTATCTCATCGCATCAGGCATAACTTGCCCTTCATAAATCCACGCTGGTCCTTGCCAGTCACCTACTGGTCCTGCGTGTTCTTGGAAATGGCTTCCAGGAGGATTTGCCTGATAACCTTTGCAGGAACATTAGGCTGACAGCCTCTAGTTATGTGGCTTCTCCTTGCCCTTTTAGAGGAGAGGTGTGATGGTCACCTTTTTCCAGACATCAGGAAACTTCCCTGATCACCATCAACTTTCAAACATGACAATGAGTGGCCTTGCAATGACATTGGCCAGCTCACTCCAGCAGAGCTGGCTGCATCCCATCTGATGCCATGCACTTGTGCACATCCTGTTTCCTTAAAGCATCTCCAGCTTCTTTTCCATTTACTGTGGGTAACACTTCACTTCCTCAAACAGTAACAGGGAGCTGGGAGGCCTGAGAGCAACCCTTGATAGCAAAGGCTGGGACAAAAAAGACTGGAAACACCTCAGCATCACCTATCACAAGTGAAAGGCAGTCTTTCTAAAGCATCCACAGTGAAAAGGCTTTCTTTGAAATGCAACCTCATGAATAAGCAATGGCATCTGTGATGGGGGTAAATATTCCTACAGTTCAGATCCGAGCAGCTCTTAAAACTTCATTTAATGAAGGAACCCAGCAATACTCATATTTCTTATTTTGATTAACTAGGCTTCACACAAGACTCAGGAGGGAACTCTGCACACAGTGGTACTGTTTATGTCCAAAGTCGTACAAAAATGGGTAAGTCAAAACAGCCCCACTTACAGCCCTTAGAAAGAAAACCCCTTAAAAAGCATGCAGTCCCTCACTTTATGTAAAATTGGGAAGCCAAATCTAGACATAGACACTAAACTTAAAGCATCAAAACTGTAAGGGCTGAATGCCTACAGCTTCAGCTGGCCCTCATGGGAATTCAGATGATCAGCCCTGACATTTCTAACTCATCATCACCAATAAATCAGGTTTGACTCTTTTCACAGAGAGCCAGCAGCACTGATGGGAAGCGACTGCCATCACACACTGCAGACACATCTCTTTGGACAATCTAAATTGTTTATCTTCTCCGCAAAGCTGGTGTAATTGATTTGGTGATGGTCATTCATGACAGCAGAGTAAACTAAATGCAGGTTGCCCTAGGACTGAGATAATGCATTCCTGGCAGTGCATGATTTGGCATTTGGGCCAGTGGGAAAAACAGCCTTCTCTTCACCGCACTCCTCCCTCCACTTTGCTCTACCCTTATTGCAGCCGTCGCCGCAAACAAACAACAACATTGTCAAGATCCAAGGAGTTGTCAGTTCACATCAGAAGGAAGGCGGTGACACGACATGTCACATTACAGCACAGACGCTCCAGCTGGCTGTAGAGCTGTCATCATTAGCAGCGAGATGCCATTGGGAGCCGGTGTAGTTGGAAGTCAGTGTTAGGCAGGCGTTTGCTCGTTACGGGTCTCTGCTTAAGATTCTGGAGCGCAACTGGCTGTCATACCTGATGTAACGTGTCATGTGCCATTTGTGCATCCCAGGGTATCTGATTTCATGAGCGTGTTTTCTTTTCCGCTCCTGCACAACTGAATGCAATTAAAACCCTGGTACACACTTCCTGATGAAGCAGCTCAAGCAAACTCAGGAAAGAAAAATGTCCTAGGGTAGGCAAGCAGTCTTAGGGCACGTCAACGCTTTGTCACCCACTCTTAGAAGTACTCAAACTACTCACAGGCCAGCAGTAATGACCCATTCTGTGGCTTGATAGCCATCGTATAGGAACATGTACACAGCCTTTGACTGGCTGACCAACATAAAACACAAAACTTCCTCGCTGGAAAGCATTGGTATAGTTTTATCTGGCCAGCCATGTGGATATAAGGTGTACCCCAGCAGGCTGCCCTGCTAAGTAGATGGGAGGAGGAAACAGACACAGGAACAAATGGGTAGAAGTGCCATGGGGCAAGGACATTACCTTCCATCTCTGTTGAGATGGAAGTGCTCATTAGAGTATGATGAGCACATCAGGCAACAGTGAGGGAGTACAAGAGGCATATGTAAAACGGATGAGTGACAATCTCTAGTGGCGCATGTGCTCATAATTGAGTTGGTCTTCCTGGTGTACGTACACCTGGAGTCAGGAAGCTGCCTGGAGTCTCTGTGGATTGGACTGTAGACATAGCTGACTATCAAGAATAAGACATTCCTGCACTTGATGGTCAGTTAAATGTTTGCCAGGCTGTCTACCAATAGAAATAAGGATCGCAGCAGTCTTAAGAACTAGATACTGCTGCTTTTACACAAGGCAGATCTCTACACTCAAGCGAGAAATCCCAACAAAGTCCTATTTGGGATACTGCTAATAAGAAAACTGCCCATAAGCTCAGTTCTTTGTAGGACAGGACATTAAGATGGGGCGTTACAACTTGATTTCGTAACTGCTAAGTACCTGTAGGAGTGCATTATCTGATGTTTGCTGGTACAAGGTGTGGGAGCCTATAATCAATGAAAACCAGGTCATGGACGATGACTTGTTTCTAATGAAAATCTGCAAGCGCAAGGATGACGTTTAGATTTGCACCCACAAAATTTCAATTGACAAACCCAAAAACACGACTTTCCACATGGGTGAAAGCAGCAAATTAAAACCAGGATTTTCTAGTAGCTTTTCAGTTCTAGTTGCAATCCGCCTTTAGAAAAGCAGTTTCTGAGTACGCAGAATAAAAAGTTCTCAATTCTCTCCCTCAACCAGAGCGCACACGAGCTTCCTGCAGTATCTGCACGGCAAAAGATCAAATACAATAGCAATCAAGAGTGCCATGTTTGACAGCCAACCATTTCAAAAAAAAAAAAACACAAGAGAAAATTGCTTTTAATTGAAAAGGAGTAACACAGTTCAGTACAAAGGGTGAGATTCACTGCATTTAACTTCAGTACTCAAAAAAGTCAAGGTGACCAAGACAGTCAATGGAGAGAGCTGTCCTCAAAGAACTACTTGCTGACATCCATCTTGAAGTGGGAAGAATTGCTCTTTGGAGGCACTCCAGGGAGAGCTGAGGTGAGGCCACCTTCTTTCAGAAAGACAATGGTTATTCAAATAAATCCTAAGTGTAGTGCCATAAAGAAGACATAAATGGGTCAATTTCAAAGTTGGAAAGGGAAATCGAGTATTTTCTAGATACACACTTTTCTTAAGTGTTGCTTAGATCAGAATTGAAGCATCTATTCTAAAAGACCTCAAATCTCAATCTTAATCCCAGATCCCCTACTTAAAAATGTGTCCCTGCTATTTTGTTTGCACTTTTTCTGTGCCGTTTTTTCTTGCCAGGTTTTTCTGCATTAGAGTGACAGGCTCTATATTAAAACCAGCAACAGTCCTACATTTAGAAAGCCAGGAATTGAGTTACTTCAATAATAATCAAGCTTATAGGAACAGCTTATCATAAAACTCAGGACTTCACTGAATAAATATGGCATTTTTCATCAAAATCTGGATGGCTGCTTGGAGAAAGACAAGAAAAATTAACCATTCAGGTGAATATTTCATTTCTTAAGTTGCTACCGAATGAGTCAAATACTTCAACAAAGCAAGACGGCAATTAGAAAAGTAAAACTCTCACAATAGAAAAAAATCTTTTGTTCTCATCTTTTTTTTTCTTTCCCAGACGGTTCCATTTTTGAAGTCTTCCAAATAAAAAGAGCCCACACTGAAGACTTACTTTGCTTTAAGTGTTTCCTCTTGGAAATTCCACTGAGGGTCTTCCACTAGCTGCAGTTCTCGTAAAACACTCCCTGGCTTGTAAGCTGCATTGATCACCATGCTGAGAACCTGTTGAGAGACAAAACCGATAACACTGATGGGTTTCACAGTAGCAGTGCTTGACCACAATGAATCTGATCCCAGGTGCTGCGTAGGCAAGAGCAGCTTACAAGAGCCAACTCAGGCTCAAGGATGCACAGGGTAAGTGCGAGATGCAATCAGAAGAGGACCCAGATCGGATCAATGTGCCAAGAATATTGTAGATGACACATCAGTCTGATAAGGTGACTGCGTTAAACGCTGCGAGCTAACCCCAAAGATTTCCTGTTAACCAGGGTTTTTCTTTGACACAGACTCTCTCACCCAAAACAGATCCCATACCTTGCATCCATACTGGCTCATTTTAATTAAAAATGAAAATATTTCTGATGGCTCAACCGGGTACAAAGCCATGCGTACCAGCACACACTGAACACTAAAGCGGAAACACGTATTTGAGGTCAGTGATACGCTCAAGCATCTGAGTGCTGCGTGCCTTGACTGTATTAACAGAATATTAATGAAGTCTACACAAAAAGAGATTGCAGGAGGCGCGCCTGAAACCCAGTGTGCGTCCACTCTCTACAACAAAACACCTGTGCCAATCCACTTAATCCAAAGTCTCTCAGAATAAAAACGATTCCTACTATTGGCTCAGGGGATCCAAGCTTTAATATTCTCCACTTGGCCTAAGGAGGTAAATACAAGAAAAACAAATCTCTTAACAGCACCAGACCATGTGTTCGAGCACTCTGCATTGTATGTACATGAATGATCCCATAGCGAGCCTGGATTGGTTTAGATATAATTTAGCTCTTTACCTAACGCCTGTTCTTAATTCTTTGGGGCCCTGAAAATTATTTCAGTATGATGAACGTTAAGTTTCCCCAGCACCCATGAATGTGGTTCATGAGAAATGAAAAACTGACACGGTCATATTGCAAAGAGCAATGTATTTATGTTTGGGAACAGGGTCTGTTAGTTGTTGTGGTTTGTGGTTTTTTTTTTTAATCCAGTAACCTCAGGATTTGCTAGAATTTTGGAAACCTCATAGGATTAATTATTTTCAGGCAAGGGCTTCACTTAACGCTGCGTAGTACCATGTAAAATGGCAGTGCTTTGAGTTGCCTGGCTAGGTTGTTTACTAGAAGCAAAACTTCATTTATCATTGGGCCCTTGGAAGCATTACTTAAACCACTCTTCAAAACAGTGCAATTAGAGACAACTAAAGCAATGACTAATAATAGCACCAACGTCTTATGCAGCTCTGATCATCTGTGTATCTCAAAGCACTCAATGAGGAAGGGCAGGAGCACACTCCCTATCTCACACAAGGGGAAAGTACAACACAGATCTACCACAGCTCTCCAGCTGGTTCCTATCTCATCACACAACCCACTGTACTAGTCACTGAGCCATGCTGGTTCCCAATAGAACAAAAGAAAGCTTCTGAGCGAGCCCATCCAGTTGCTCATCCACATCTTTTCCTGCCCACTACTCACTGTATGAACCGATGGGGCACTGGCCTCTGACACAGAGACCCAAGATAGGGAAGCCAAAGGTGGGTTCGAAAAACATCAAGTCCCTGGGGAGCTCTCACACTCATCCACAACTCACCAGATGTGTTCCCTTCTTGATCAGCAAATGCAGGGAGTTATTTAACGCCTATGCAGGGGCTTGTTGGGAAAGCCAGGAGCAGAAAGCAAGTGTCCCGTGCTGACCAATTCCCACTAATAGTGCTGCCCTGCTCCTTTGTCAGGATGATGGTGTTTGTGCGAGTTAGGAAATGAACAACTGAAAAACAACTCAACCCTGCAAATAACAGTTTGGCCATGCCTGGGCATTATCCCAGACACCTAATCAACTCCAGCCCTGCAAAGAGACCCACAGTACCAGGACTTTTCCCAAGGCTGGCCTATCATCAGCAGGACTCTGTAAACTTCTAAACTCTGCTATAAAAAAGCATGTTTTGTAAGAACAATCATTTCCCTTTAAAGGAAGAAAAAATGAGGTTTTTTAAAAAATCCCTGTTTTTTAACTCTTCTTCTATCTCAAATTTAAGTCACTGGGTTTGGCATTTTACCCCACAACAGGAGTCCATCACCATGTTAACAGTCTTATCTTCTAACAACATTATCACTTCATATTGCACACTGTTAAACACTAGAGAGAAACAAGAACATAGGTTCTTGTGGGAAAATTAACTGTGGTTAAAGCAAAAATGGTGAAGAAACCTAGACCAGCTTCCAACTTTCCAGTTTCCAACTTTATCTGGAGTTGGAAAGTTACTTCACCCACATCAGACTGGTCAAATTTTGATCTGATTCACTAAATTTCCTTTGGCAGGAGTGGGATCAGCCTAAGATTTTGGTAGTTTATTTTCAGCTCTCTTTATCAGGAAAGGTTTTGGTACATCCAGTGATGCCTTGGAGCAGAGGGGTGGATCAGACACCACCAACCTTTGCTGCTATGCACCTATGAGGTTTCATTTTGACACTGCTGAACTTTGGATTTTCAGAGTCAAGTAAGTTGGAGCCACATGAGTGAGCGTGATCACACAGCACCACTACAAGCCCCTACCCAACCTTATAAGCATCTGACATCTTCTCTATGAAGTTTTCCATGTCATAGATTTTCAAGTTCACAAAGGCCCTTTTCTGAGCATGTCTAGATGTGCCTGATGCCACTGGGCAGTTCAGCACCTTTCATCCCACCACAGCTTTTTGGTATTCACACATTTCCCATCTCTCCACTCCTCTTCATTAACAGTCTCAACCCTGGATGAAGCTTTCTCAGGAGGTATCACTGACGAGGTGGAGTTCAAAATACCATGACACCTCTTCTGCTGTTCAAGATCAGCATCCTTGTGAGGAGAAACTCATTTTCTGAGCATCTCCCTTATGAGGAGCGGCTGAGGGAGCTGGGGCTCTTTAGTTTGCAGAAGAGGAGACTGAGGGGAGACCTCATTCATGTTTATCAATATTTAAAGGGTGAGTGTCACGAGGATGGAGCCAGGCTCTTCTCGGTGACAAACAATGATAGGACAAGGGGTAATGGACACAAGCTGGAACACAGGAGGTTCCACTTCAATTGGAGAAGAAACTTCTTCTCAGTGAGGGTGACAGAGCACTGGCCCAGGCTGCCCAGAGAGGTTGTGGAGTCTCCTTCTCTGCAGACATTCAAAACCCGCCTGGACGCCTTCCTGTGTAACCTCTTCTGGGTGTTCCTACTCCGGCAGGGGGATTGGACTGGATGCACTTTTGAGGTCCCTTCCAATCCCTAACGGTCTGTGATTCTGTGATTTTCCCTCTTCTACCTGAGATTTGAGCCCACATCTCCCACCTAACAAGAGAGATCCTAACTCCCAGGCTAGCCTCAGGCAGGACAACAAAGTTATTTCCTTTTCCTTGGAATAATGATGTGTCTGTGGGACAGAGAAATAAGAGAAAATAGAGTTAGTTGGGATTCTTTCATTAGGTCATCAAGCACTTAAAAATGAGCTTTTTTTACAGTCAAGGCCGCAAGACTTAAATGTTGACAGGCTCATGACAGTGCGTGACATTTCAAAAATACAGCCAGCTAGACCCAAAGTTGGAGGAACTACTACAGATGAGCTGAAGTCCGCAGAGCAGTCTTGGAGAGGATGTTAGTCAACCCTCTTGTATAAATACAGCTTGTATCTCTCCAGACTATAGGAAGTTTCTGCCATTCCAACACGGTATCTGATCACTAATGGTAACGCTATCAGCCTGGCTCAATCATACACCTAAGGCTCAGTACGAGCTACTTAATTTTTTGAGCACCATGATTTAATTATGCAAATTTCTCCTGAGAAGTCATGCTGTGCTCCAAAAAAAAGCAAGTTGCAGAGTACAATAGCCTGCCTTCACAAATTCTGTCTAATTTCTCCTGTTTGCATCAGTTGGACAGTCACATTACCCTTACGTCCATTTTCTTTTTCATCAGAGAAAAGAGCAAAATGTCTTTAAAATAGTAAGAGCAGTAAGCAACAAGGCTAATTAATCTTTACAGCATATTTCCCTAAGATATGGTGGGTTATAGATCATCTGAAGTCTTAAAAAGACATCTCATTTTGTTTTACAGCGTTGCCGTGGTAAATTGTTGGCACAGATGGAAGAACAGTTCTGAAGTATGCTTTAGATATTCGGACCCGAGAACTAAATCTAAAGCTGACAATGTGTTTATTTTAATTTAACTTGAAGTTAGCATTTATTACATATCTTAGGAACTGTACAGACACTGTTTTTCATCCCAGATGCAGTTGCTGGACAGCAATAGTTGATGTCTCCACTGTATTTGGCTCCAAGTTACAACTTCTTTTCCAAACAAGTATCTCAGGAATGAGATAAGCTTTGCAGCTATGGTAAACAACAGCCATTACCACCTCACTTGCCTCTTTGGACAAAAGAAACCACAATAAACCACTGATCACAGACAGGCTTTAAAAATAAGTTTGGCACTAGATAGCACAAGAGTTGCTGGTCATTCACCTAAGGCTTTGCATCCTTTTGCAAGGATACATGCACAAAAACACACACAGAATTAAAATCAGTATTTTCTACCATACTACCAAATAAGTTGCAACTGTTTTCATGATTTTGCTGGGAAATCTGGCTCAAGGACTGCCATTTTGGCTGCCGAATTTTCACAGCTTCCTCCCTGCAGAGCTCCCAACCTCTGAATCCAACACTAAGACAAAGCAATTGGGCAGAAATAGGGCAGATCCAGTAACTCAGCAGAAATGCCTGTTCTGCCGGAAAAGAGGTGCTGCAAAAAAGCAAACCTATCCGTGCTCCTTCTCTGCCGAAACCTCAGGAGAGAACAGCCCAGACTACTCAAATGGAAGGAGATGTCCCTACTCCACACTGTAAGGGTGGCTCCTAACCTTGTTTAAGCCAGACTCAAGCAGTACAGACTGACAGCTGTATCACTACAAGCATTTGGAGCTGGATCTCAAATGATGCTTCACTGCATCAGTGATAAAGGTTAAGGAAGGACAAGACCTTGGGGATAAAAGGGCAGAGGAGCATCATGAACTACAAGTGTGCTGCATTTTTTGTCACATGCCTGATGATTTGAGTGTGGAGGAAGGCAGAGGATGGGGAGCTACTCCCTCAGAACCCAGCCAGGACCAAGGTCTCTTATCACCTGGTGCTGGTGGGGAGAAGACATTTAATCTCCTCTCACTTTACAAGTAACCCAGGCCAGTGAATGGGGTAGGGTTGGCTGTTCAGCTGATTTTAGTCTGGGGTTCCCATCAGTGCCAAACACGGCAGCATCTCTGTCACGGAGGCTGCTGCTCACTGTCAACTGGCTGGCAACTGGCACAGGTTTTTAACTAGAGCATCTCTAAAGGCAGTGAGTTATAGCTGGAGACCAGGGTGATTTTAAAAGCTCTTGCCAGACTGCGACTGACTCTGTTTTTTCCATCGTAGCTGTTGTTTTGAGTTGTCTTTCCCACCCTCCCCTGGGTGTTGCCAAAGTAAAGCCCATGTATAATTTATCTATTCCAGACAAGTTATGCTGATGCATAATTTACAATGGCCTGCAATTTTCCTATATAGTGAGAGAGAGATAATTATAATGCATTTGCATTCTCGGGGCCGTATCATCAGTGGATGCAAAGCAAGACAAAGGCATCAAGTTCAGCAACAAGACTGGGTTTATAGGGAGGGGGACCCTTGCAAGCAACTCAGCTGTGCAAAGCCTTGTGGCTGTGGTCTTGGGCTGGAGGAGATATCTCCTGTGCTGTTCTCACCACTCAGCTCTGCGGTCCTTTTGGGTGATCTGGCAGGTGCTACAGATTTTCATCTCGATACAGGGACGTTGTATTTGCCACTTCTTGCCTCCTCCACATGCTGGGTACCTCTATCATCGCCCCTGGCCATGGTTCTCTGAGCTGCTGACACCTCTTGTCTCAGCTCATGAGAACCAGGTGCATCTCCCCTACAGCAACACTCTGAATGTCTTCTCTTCATCCTTTCCAGAATTTGGTCTCTGTAGCCAGAATGAGCTTGAATTTATCTGTGAAGTAACACACCAATTGCCATTGTCCTGCTCCCTGGGAAGTCATTCATGTCTCCAAAAGCAAGATGCTCACGTCACACACACTACTACCTGCTCCCTCAGCAGACAATTCTGTAAGGAGGCAGAGCAAGAGGAAATAGCCTTTCTGTAGGAAACTCAGGTTGGTGTCCACAGTTGGTAACTGGTCCCATTCTTGGGGAATTCGGAGAAGCTAGTGTTAGTCTATGCAGCAAAGACTTAAGATACTAAGGGAGGACCTGGCATAAGCTTTGCACAGCTTATGCTTTCAAAATCCAAATTCCAGGAGGAAAGGAGGAAGAAATATTAGCATGAGCATTGACTGTGCATGCCTCATATTTACCCCATGATGCTTTCTGATTGCCTGTTTTTCAAGTAGCATTAGACTAATGCTCCCCATCAGCAAGCCACTATGAACTTGCTTTCAAATTTGGCAGCTGCCAACTTTTGCTCAGCAACCACTTTATCCTGCTTTCTGCTGAGGGCTATTTTTGACTTGCTTCTTTGACACTCAAGTGTCCCAACTGCACAGGCAGCTTTCAACCACGTAAGACAACCAGCAGTGCTGCTGTGTATAAAGCAGTGCACATAGGTGATAAGCAAGTGAATGAGGACACAGGAGTCACTCTGCACTGCAGTACAGTACAGATGTGTTTGCAGAAGTGGTGGGTAATTTGAGAGGAATCTCACCTTTCAGGTATTTCTGTTAAGGGCTGGGACTCATCTAATTTCAGACAACTGCAAACATCCTGAGCTGGGCACTGTGGGTCTTGCAAATACATCAGATAAATGGCAACCTAGAAGTTTACATGATTTCCCACCAAGGGCAGAGGGAGCTCAGATATGCCCTTGCATCCACATCAAGCTGGGTTCATATAGGTATGGATCAGAAAGATGGAAGATCACTCAAGACTCTGGATTTGGCCCAAAGCAAGCACTGATTCAGTCAGGACTAAGTGAACAGATAGTGGTGCCCTGCCATCTCTGCCGCATGGAATAAACCAACCCACATTCAGCAAAAGCTGGGTACACCACAGCCTCCATTCAGCACATAGCACACCCCCCTGCTTGGCCTTTTGCACTGTTCACTCCGGATCCTGATGGCTTGGGTCCCATTGGACCATAGTCACCCATACAGAGGTGTCACATACATGAAAACTGCCGGCCTAACAGTACTGCGGATGCTGATAAACAGGTTGATGGCAACAACCACAGAGGTCCTCTCTGGGGACAGCTCTCAGCAGAACATGAGTTCTCTTGCACACAGTTAGATAAAACCTGCTCCTTCCCAACAGAACTCCCCATGTTTCAAAAATGTCACTGCTCCCATCAAAACCCACAATACATATACCTACCCTCTCTTTCCAGCTTGCAGTTTTGACTTATGGAAACCACCACAGAGCTCCAGGACAATTTTAGGTGCTGTCTTTTCAAATTCTGGGCCTGGCAACCCATGACCCATGCATTCCCCTGATACCCCCCCCCCCAAAAGATAGCTGAGCCATACCTCTTTGAGGACCAGCACACACTTGCCAGGCCCGACAGACTGAGGTAGCTCTGCTATTCTGCCTTTGTTTAAATATGGTCCTGAGAAGCAGCGGTGGTTGATGTAGAGCTGGGGGCAGCAGTATCTCCCATTGATGGTGCCTGCAAGGAGAAAGTAGCATTGATGTGCATGCAGCACTTTTGCACAATGAATCAAGTGCCCTTCTTCTTCCTCCTAGATGTTGAAAGGAGGGGAGAAGAGTAAATGAGGCACAAAGTCTTCTCAGGGACAGAAGGTAGAGAAGCTTCTGCTACTAGACTCCATCTGACATGGGAAAAGGAATTGCTTTCAACAGCAACTGATTTGGATGCACCAAAGGGAGAATCAGGAAAGGATTTCATTCATAACGTGACCCGAGGCTCTTTCATAACTCACATCGCAGATGGACGTGAGCAACTCAGTTACAACTTGCCAGAAAGGGAACATATTAGTTGCCTCTCACAGATACAGAATGGGCTCAGGGAGAAAATTCAGGTGGAAGGCTTCACAAACCCCTGGTCATCTACTGTCCAACCCAGTAAGCACCGATGGGCTGTTCACCTGACCCAACATGGGTCTACAGGGTAGTTTCCTTTGTCTAGGCTAATTACACTGGGCTCCTTTATAGCCAGCCCATGGAGAGAAGTGGGCACTTCTAGATGCGATTCATGTGCTATTCAAGTGGTTATCCACTTTGGTTATCATACCCAGAATGAGCCTGTTTCTCCCCATTTGATTGTCACAGGGCTCTGGGACGTTGGCTCAGATGCCAATGCGTGCCCCACAGACTGCTGAAATAAAGTGAGTTAAATCCTGTCCCTCCTGCTGAGTCTGTGCAACTAACTGGATGAGTATTGCACTCTCAGAGACTCCTGCCATTGCTAAAGAGGAGAATAATTTGCCTTTAGCAGAAGTAACAGCCATGCCACACAGTCATGATGCTAACATAGGGACACATTAAGTCCCGGTGTAAGCAATTTCATTGATACCAATTAAAAAGAAGTCGCATCCATCTCCACCAGGGCTTCATTAGCCTGGACCTAACATCGTCAGCTGAAATGGGCAAGCTGCAGGGGAACTCTGATAACCCCAGCAAGATCTGATGTTCACATGCAGGGGACCAGACCCTCACATGCTCTACATCAGAGACTCCTCACGCTGTTGGGGAATCCACACCATCTGACACCTCCTGAGGATGTGGTCCCATCTCCCTACCCATATGACACATTCACTCCCTTTTTTGGGGTCATTCCCCTCCATGCAAGCAACAGGTCCTTGAAATTAGGATCCCGCTGATGCCGAGCAGCCTTACCTGTGGTGTCTGGCTGAGGAACCGGGGAGAGGTCATGAGGTATTTTCTCAACAGGCACTGTGGATGGTAACCTGTTAAACAGCAATTCAGTGTATTTAAGAGTGTTCAATGGGGCAAAGGGGCAGCACCAGCTTTTGGGATGGACCAAGAGATACACTAACACTCGCCTGGACTGAGGAATGGAGATACTTCAAATGCAACCCCACTTCCACACAGTTTATCATAGCCCAGGGCCAGCATATTGCAGAAGCATCAGCCATCATCCAAAAATAAACTCTGGCCTGTGAGCTTTAGCCATTCAGACTACAAATATTCACACTTAAGTCTCTTAAATTCTAGTTTCTAGAAAGTGTGAGGGCTAGATAGGGAAATATCCTCCTGGCACATGCCTGTCTTCCATAAACATCCCTTACTGGCTATTAGACACTGGCTACCGAGTCCCAGATAGTAATATATTTCTACTGCAAATATTTTTTTATATGTTCACAAACATTTTAGATTTAAAGGAACTCCCTTGCTGACTCTGCTGCAGTATCTGGGCAGTCGTTAGCAAAGTCACTCAGCTGCTGTGTGTTATCTTCCCTGGAAGACCTGATGCATCTCTATAAAAATATCCCCCCAAGCAACAAAAACTTACTGCTTTTCTGGTTGTACAACTGCAATTCTTCTTTTCCTTCGCACTGCAAAAATGAAGCGAGAAAGAAAAAAATAGTTTTGTACTCTTCTGTCCTATAAAGTATACCCATAACACATAAGAAGCTGTATAAATGCATTGACTATAAAATAACTTCTAACGCAATGAAATGGTATTTAATTACTATCGTCATCTTTTCTTGGTATTTCTTAAGTAAGTCACTACATCATTAAAACCTACTTTAAAGATGTAATAACACGTTTAATCTTTCCTCTGGAATGCTAACATTGTGTTTTATGGGATCAGCATAAAAAAAAATTAAAATAAAAAACACAAATATTTTTCCATACAGAAACACATATGGATAAGATTACATTTTACAAGCATGATTACCTCCAGCATAATCTATCCCAAGCTATAAATTGCGATAAGGCTGCATAATGTTGCCATAGCAGTATTCTCCCAAATTAGGCCCCGGCTGCCTGATTTTTAACTTAACCGTATTTAACTCTTCAAAAGGGTTTGACACATTTTAAAATTTTCCTTTCAGATGTAGATCAATATAAACAGCAAGGCTAATTTTTCATCTGTTGGCTTGAGATCGGGTTGGATAATTTCTGTGAGGAACAGGAGAACACCACCAAGCCACTGAGCACTCACTAATGGCCTTCACATGGAAATGGAAATGAAAGAAACTGGTCTTGATACTGCACTGGAGGCAGGACAAAACACTATGGGCTTAATTGTGCCTGGAGAAATTTAAATTAAATACTAGGGAAATCTCTGAGCTGGTAAGGGCAGTGAAATAACGGGGGACATACCCTGGGAAGGGGCAGAAACTCCATCACAGGAGGAGAGCAAATATTTCTCAGTTTAGATGGAGCAGATCCTGCTTTGGAGATGGAGCACTTGGATGGACTCCTTATGTCCATTTCACCCTATATTTTAGAGGTTTTTTACCAATTTGAGGTCCTGCGTCCCTAATTCACTCAGCTGCCCAAGTGAACTTGGCTCAGCACAACGAAACCTGGTTTCACTCCAACAACCCCACCACAAACCCACAACCCACCCTGCACAATCCCAAACCACGTAACAGCCTTTCCCAGAGCAAATAATCCCAATTTTTAGAGCAACAGACAAGTACAAGTTGCATGATACCAGTGCTGCGGAGTCTGGTCACTAATTAGATGTATTAATATTTGTTAGAGTACACTTGCAGCCTGGTTACCAGTCTGCTAGTTAGGTTGGTAGTTTCAAAAACTGCATTATAGACATAAGACAAACTCCCTGATCAATCCGTTGATGTAGTATCAATGCTGCTTGAGGTTTCCATGTACTTACAAACAGCTTTGTGTGGTGGAGTTAGGTTATAAGCATTCGCTTCACACCAGCCAACGGGGAAAATGTCCATAGACTCTACATCAACTATGTATTCTGGAGAGGGCATCTGTAAACCTATAAACACAAATTTATAATGTAATTTAGACATGGGAATACCAAGCTCGGAGCCATTCGAGCATTCATCATGAACCAAGGGAAGCAAACAATGGAACACATAAAAATAAATCTGCTTCCCTGCATCAAAATCAGGCATCATTTTGTCTGCAATTCTGCACGGACAGCAATGATAAGACTGTTGCATTTACAGTGCTATATGATTCCAGATAAAATCTCCATTAAGAGCACACTAAGGGTACACAGTGAAGCAGTCAAAAGCCAGTAAGGTTAAACACGCACAACTTTACCCAACAAGATGACCTGTTTGTAGACTTGCACAAGCAAGTTAGCAGGAGGCCAGCTGGGTGCTTGGTCTTGCTGGTAAGAAAGTAAATATGAACTGGAACAGGATGATAACGAATGTGATAGGTCTTTATGCCCCAATGCCCACCTGAAGCTTTTTCATGTAGTTCTGCCCTTCAGTCCCTGTTTTTAAGGGTGGGAGATGGCCACTCTTCTGTCAAGAGGTGCCATGAATTCTCCTAGGGCTCCTCACTACAACACGACCTGATCACCCAGCAAGGGAGAAGCAGGATAAAAACCCCAAGTGGGACAGATGCACTAAGATCTCTGGCATAATACTGACTCCAAACCTCCACTGAAAATCTCTGCTTAAAGCAAATCTTTTCCAGTTTGGTTATTATGCCTCCTTTAGAAGACACTCTCCTGTCTCGGGTTATGTGGACTGCACTCCAAGCCCACTGCAGCAAATCGAAATACTCCCGCTGGCTCCGAGTTCTTTTGAAAACAACTCCAGGACCTGAGTCAAGACACCATTTAATTACTCCAATTCAAGTCCATCTGCGCTGGCACAGCCTGGCCAGCAACTTCACCTCCCTCTGCCATTTCTACCCCAGGACCAGAATCAGCATGAGACGATCTCCTAATAAAAGACACCAAAGGATCAGCAGCTTCCCCTGCAGCATCCTTGCCTTTGCATCTGTTACAGCATCTTTGCATCGTGCTTAATGCAGCAGTGTTTGACTGCACACAGCTAAATGACTACAGGGAACGTCCCACTAATGAATGTTCATCAAGGGCTTGCAGCGTAATTGAAACAGTAATTGAACTTTGTGATGGGAATGGCATCGAGGCTGAGATGCAGCATTTGGATCAATCTTGTCTTGTCTCTAGTAATAAACTTGCTGGTTTGTATGAAAACTCAAAGGAAGCAAGGAAATAGGTGCTGGTGCTCTCACACCGCTGGAGGAAGTAATTAAAAAAGTGAAATCACGATGTCTGCACAGGTTCATTAATGTCTTCGTGGTATTCCTCTGAGCCCTGGATCGTGTTCACAGATCATACATTGAAGATACAGTCTTTATTTCACCAGGATATGGAGAAGGGTAGAGGATAGGATGAAGACACAACAGAGGACACAACCTGCTCATGCAAGCAGCTGAACCTCAATGCAAGGTCTCAAGAGCTGGCATTCCCTGCAAAACCATTTCCCTGCATGAGGAAATACCAAGAGGTCACTGCTCAGTTTGAACCTGGTGAAAGCTGCGGTCTCCAGTAGGCAAAAACATTTCCACCTAACACCACAAATCCAGCCAAGGAGCTGATGGGAGAACTGCTCAAGTCAGAGGCAAGACATGCGTGAAGTGAACAAGTCATGGATCAAGAGCAAGAGATCAACACAGTTCCCACTGAAGTTTCACCAGATCTGGGAAAATCCACTGTAGTCATTACTGTAACTGTTCTACGGTGTTATTCTGACCAAATAAACAGATTGAATGTACTTCCCTGCTTGCAAGCGACAATAGATGTGACACAAACATTTTGGTTTTGAAGTTTATGGCTACGGCTGCAGCTGCCCTGACAAGCACGAAAGCACCATCGCGTCTGATCTCCTGCAACCCCGCTATTCCTCTTGCAAGACACATTCACAGCTACTCTGTCCTCCCTGGCACTGCTTCTTCCCTCTGGCAATCCATAACCCTGCCTTCCGCTTCTGACATCTTACTGCTTCGTTTGGCCTCATTCATATGAGTGGAAAACAGCTTGTTTGAGACTCATTAGTTTCATTTGCTGCATTTTATGCTGCCATTTTCCCAGACTTAAGAAATGTCTGTGAGACTCGAAAGGTCTAAAAAATGGAAAGGAAGAGAACAAGGAGACGGGAAACAGGGTGAGCAAAACCTCTATCTCCTGCTACAAATCATACAGGATGGGTAGAACAGAGCAGCAGCTCTGGAAAATTCTCAGAGGGAAAATTACGGAAAACCTCTCTGGAGAAGTGATTAACAAAAGAGTTTTCCTCAAATTCCTAGGCTGTGCAGAGAGTGTACATTATTACTTGTATAAATTCACACCAGAAAGCTTCAGCTTTAAAATCTAAAATGAACCAGTAAAAATTAACAATGCAGATGATGAGTAATAAAGTAGCAGAAAGTGATGGGATGCGCACAGCCTCGGATCGGCCCTGTGCTTCTCTTCCACCACGGGGGAACTATACTGCTGCTCATTAAATGCTCACCCTGAAGTTTACCGAGTTTTGCTACTGTACAAAGCCTGATTTATTAAGCAATGTTCCCTCATGTCTAACTCGATGCTGCTTAACTACTGCGTCCTGTTTTATGGCTGCAGTTTGGGCTGTCAAACAGCGAAACTGGGAGGGCAACAATGAAAGCTTCAGACGTGTCCCATGATAAATGGTGGGACCCGAGATCTTCAGCGATGGGCTCCCATGGAAGCTGGGGAGTCTTGCTGCTACCAGAATATAAATAATCAGTTAGAAACAATAGTGTATTAATGGAGTAAAAAAAAAACCATGCCGCAGTTCAAGCCACATTTATTTTACAACTCTGCATGCAGGGTTTTGGGTTTTTTTTAAAGCCTAGTTTTAGCATAACACTGTGCATACTGTAGTCATGCATTTCAACAGCAGCAAAGATCTCTTTTTATTTTTGCAGTCTTTTGCATCTTTTCCTTTTACTACAGATCATTCTATTCCTGGTGTTGAGATATAAAACAAGCCTAAAGCATCTATCTATCAGAACTCAAAAGACAAGGAGATGCACACAGGTTTTTTTATTACAAGTTGTAAAAAACATCCCTTAAGAAATTAAAAGAGTAAAAGGCAGGGAGAAAGAGATGAGGGAGGGGAGCAAGATGGGAGTGTCTGGCCCTCTCCCTGCCCCTATCCGGGGTCTTGGAGGACCAGTTGATTTAAAGACCCAAGAAACAGCATTTCCCATTCACTATAACAGCCAAGAGTTGAGTCCCTTTGAAAGGATTAGAGCTTAGAGGAAAAAATTATTTTAAAAAAGGATTCCCAAACCACATAAAATCACAGAACGGTTTGTATTGGAAGGGACCTTAAAGCTCATCCAGTCCAACTCCTCCACGGGCAGGGACTTCTCCACCAGCCCAGGCTGCTCCAAGCCCCGTCCAACCTGGCCAGGGAGGGAGCATCCACAAAATCTGCATATAAAAGGGAAGGCACCTGGCCATTTAAGAAGAGGAGTTACCAAAATGGGTCAGGTTCCTTGACCAGATGGGTGTAAATTCAACCACAGCCTTAGTGAGAACTGAATTTCAAACAAGCGTTGAGTCCAGCTACTTAAACAAAAATATTTGTTATGTTCCTGGACTGAGCCGCAGAGGAGCTTTTGCTGCCTCAAGTCAGAAAGCAACCAGTTATCTCAGATTAAAAAACCAAAACCTGTGAAGTTCTACCTGCTCTGTACACTGGAGATAATCACAGAGGAGACAAAGTGCCTGGGGCGACAGCTCCATGTCAGGGATGGAGCAGGACGACCAAGCTCTCCTGCATCTCCCATCTCTGCTGCATTCGGGCACACACTTGCAGCTCTGCTCTCCTCAAATCTCAGCCAGCCCAAACCATGAGGCTTAGACATGAGGCACGAATGATTTGGTCTGACAAGCTTTAGGTCAGGAGGAACCTCGCTTTAGGTAGCAACTGAGTTACAATTCCCTAAGAATGGGATTTATCACAGAGGTGACAGGAAAGCCTTGTCGACCATATAATGTTACTTCTGTAGAGCTAATCACCACTTAACATCTGCCTTCCTTATAGTTTAGAGCAAGCTGCTAGCACAAATGGGTTACCTGACAATGTTTTTACTAACCTTAAAGGTTTTGGTTAGAGACTCTTGTACAAATCGCACTGCACACTGTCAGATGCTGAAATATTTCTTGGGTTGTTATAATCAATGTAGCATCATGTTGAAGGTGAGGTGCCAGGTGATGATGAAGCAATACAATTAATATTCACCGTCTTCCAGTCCCAAAAGACTGAGAGTTGAGCATCTCAGAGGAGGCAAGGTGACCTTTAGTGCAGATCAGGCTTGAGACTTCATCTTACATGGGATTTCTGCAAGAACCTCTTGTTGTGACCTCTATTCCTCTGCCCTATCCTGAAATCATGTGCTCAACTACGTTTTCTACTCACATTAACCCTTTCCTAACTGTTTACCCTGGAAGGGCCAAAATAAACTTGCATTCATCTCTGAGAGTGAGGGTTCACACAGCTTTTGCAAAAACAGTAAACCCAGCTTCAATGCACTTCAGAATAATTACTCGTGAGCCAGCACACTGACCCCATGGGCCATCAGAGAAGACAGAGGTGACTTCTTTACTCCCTCCCACCTCCTGCTACAGAGCTCCCATGGAGCAAGCAAGTGCCACTGACTTTAGCAAAGGAAAGACTTATTCTGCTTCCTTTTAATTCTGCTTCCTTTTAATTCTGCTTCCTGTACTCTGGAGCTCAGCACAAGCTTCATTTGTCCCCATCCTCTCCTCCTCTTAGGAGTCTGGGATACCAGAAGCATGCACTGCTTCCTGAGCTGCACAGCATGCCTGTGCCTTGCTTTCCTCCCAGCTCACTGAGACAACATGCCAGTGGACTTCCTGGGGTTGTACACAGTAAGCATTTAAGAGATGCTGCTCTTTCATCAGCCCAATCCTACAGGGAGGCTTTGAATTATATAGTGGCATCTATAAGAAATGCCTAAGCAGAGCTGCACTGTATTGACCTGCCAGTCTGTGACTGCAAACAAAGGGGTGGAGGCATTTTAACATCACATCTCCCTGAACCGTTGTAGTGGCTCAACCAAATGCATTTTGTTTTGCCAACGTGAGGGTTCCAGTAAGATGTTGCTTTTTGACTGTGTCAGGGCTGGCAGCACATGAGACAGCAGGTCTGCCTTATGTATTCACCAAGAGGCAGCAGGACAGATCTCATAAAGGTTGCTGATGAGCAGGACTGTGAGCCACCAGAAGTGCGTTTGATAGTTTCATGGTTCTCCAGAAGAAAGCAAAGAAGCATATTGCATTTGTAGTTGATGCTGACCCCATCACTATTGATTTCAAAGGAAAACTGAAGCCCTTATATCCCTTACAGATGAAGCCAGTAGCTTCAAACAACTAAACTACATTGTGACAATGATAGATGCTACAACAACTTTATGGTTTATCACAGTGCCCATCAAAACCCTTAAATGAGCACGGCTTTCCACTCTTGGTGACTTCACAAATAACACTGTTCTTAAAGCTATAAGAAGAATCCCTGCTTTGTTCTATATTACATTTATTTAAGAAATCCTTGCCCAGATGAATTGAGAAAGAAAGTTCCAAAAGCAAAACCATATTAAAAATGAGCTCATCTATACCTCATTTCAAGGTGGAAATTGAAGTTTTGATATGGTATTATGCTCTGCTAGTTTTTCAGCACTCTCCTAATACTGCTTGTACACTGGTGGTGTTCTCTATAAGGTGGTAGCTTTCTAAACTCTATAAAATAGTTACTGCCTGCAAGAGCTCTCTTAGATCAACGAAAGGAATTACACAATGACAGGGAGAAGGGATGTAAGCATGTGATGGCCATGGTGAGAAGCGGTGTATATTGCAGAAGTTTTACAGACCTAGGTGAAAAAAAGGAATGAAAGGAAGAGAAAGGAAGGAAGCAATGAGGTTGCAGGGGGCAGAAAATGCCATGCGAGGCGAGACCTCCATTCCCAGGATGGAGATCTATCATGATGGCAGTGAGGAGGTTTCTGACATCAACGGAGATCACTCTGATATAGTCTATATGGAAGGGAGAGTGGAAGGTCTCGTGGCTCCCTCAGGGAGAGAACAGGGAAAAATAATTCTTTACAACATATTATTGGATGATATGCATAAAAAGGAAAGGCTGGAGAAAACATTCTGTGCAGAGGATGAAGGACAAAATCACCAGAGCGTTTAAGTGAACCACACAAGTACAAGACGCTTTTACAGCACGTACCTTCAAGGTGAAGCCACATTAACCGTCCTTTAACTGAGGTGATAGAAGCAACACATATCTCTGCAGGGTTCCTGGGGTTCACCGCCTCCAGCTTCATGTTCCTAGTAAAGCCACGGCTGAAGGATGTCTGAAAGAGTCAAGGACCAACACTGAAGCATAGCATTGCTGCACTGCATGACTTTAATTAGGCTGTCCACTGGGAAGCATAAATTTAGCATGGTTTGCTTTTCACTGGAAGTGCAGGAAACGCTGAAGAACACAAATGCACCAAGACTGAAAATGGAACTGCCCTAGACACCCATATGAAAAAATAATGATGGCAATAAATCAGGAAGCAATGTATTGCTTGGTTTATGCCAATCCCTAACTCTCAGAGACTGGGAGAAGGTTATTCCACACCAGCTCCAAGTGTATTTGAACGCTTGCTAGTGATCCATTTGCTGTCCACTGTTGTTGACAGGATATTACACTGCCGGTTCCCGTATCTGCTCGAGCATCTCTCACCTTGCTAAGAGAAGCCTTGTAAAGCAAATAACCCATCTTGCCTGAGACCAGAGAAACTTCTCCACACATTTAGTAGCCCAGGCTGGAGAAATTTTAGTAACCTGTTCAATTATGGTTTCTGACACGGAGTACTTTAAGCTCAATGTACAAGGTCCTTCTGTGTGGACTTCAGATACATAAGTTCACTGGTTGCAGATGGACGTAAATGGAGCCAGTTGTGTTTTCTGCTACAGCAGTACACTTAATACATACACTTAAATACAGCACCAAAGATACAGGTCTTTCACAGGTTATCTGAGGTCCCCCACTGTCCTCTCACTCTTCTCCGGCGAAGGCAAAGTCAGGCCAGATATTACAGCAATGATATCCAAATGAATGGTCATCATCCCAAATAAGAAAGACAGGACCTAAATGTGGGGTCATGAGCTTGTGAGAATGCAGCATCCCCCACTGTACTAAAAGTTTGGGAGCAAGAGAGAAGCCTTTCAGTTATGCTCAGTCCCTTCCCAATATCCCCACCACTATTCCTAGAATGCACTGATGCAATACCTGTGGCCATGCCATGGATTCCTCTCCTTGCTTTTTCCTCGCCTCTGTCCTAGCTATCCCGCACCAGGTCAGCTGTGAGTGCTTGCATTTCTGTCTGCACACAGCAGCCCAAAAAGATTCTTCGTCTTGGCTGAAATATTGGCTAATAATAATTAGAATGAGTAATAAGTGTCACTGACTCAAAATGACACGAATCTCTCACCCATGTGAGCAACTGGAAGCCAATTCAACCCTTCTGCTACTTGCACAGCACCTAGGACCATGGGCACTTCACCTTGAACAATCACTGGGAGCTCTCTGTGAGACTAAAACCTTCTGGATTTGCTCTTTTTTTTCATCAAAAGGCCTTCCAAGAACATGTTGCTAGTCTCAAACACTGCCTGCACTGTCGTAAGCCTTGCTCAGCACACAGATCAGCTTCACCCTGTAAAGGCTGCCAATGGCCAGGACTGCAGAAAAAGCAAGGTGAGTTTGTTTAAATGCCTTTTATGTTGCCTAACAAGAAAACGTCATTTATCATCACACCGGCTCCTTTCATTGCAATTCGGTGCTGGAGGCTAATTTATACAGAATCAATGGCAAAACAGTTAGCTGGGAGTTTATTTTACTAAGCATTTGGTCATGTCAATCCATTTCATAACTGCCTCTCCTTGTTAAATAAGCCCCCCAGGGAAACAGTTACAGCATATCCACTTCCAGCACCATGTCTGGCTGCGGCAAGGTGGAAGATGTGCTTGCAATACAAGCTTCTATCAAACAGCCAAGAAACAAACGGGCTGACCTGCCCAGGAAGGCTGCGCAAGAGGCAACAGCAAGATCACATCTCTCTGCAGAGAACTGTGCTATCGAGAGTGAAAGAATAACAGACACATGTTCATCTGATGAATGTTTCCTTAAAAAAAAAAGTGCTTAGGCCTGATTTAATCTTTGGAGGATATTACGCAGAGGCTATTCTCAAGGCTGCCAGCGTTGAGAGCAGAGATCCATTACTTGTCAACACGAAAAGAGATATAAAGGGAGGGGTGCTTGCAGAAATGCAGCAGTCATCCCTCTCTATCGGTGTGATGCAGCATTGTCCTGCTTCCCTCAGCACCCTCAGAAATTTTCCCTGAAGTCCCTTGAGGCAGAGGGGTTTGCAAAGGATGGCACAATAAATGGGGCAAAGAAATCCCACCTGATTTGATTCCCAGGTCAAACTGTGTTGATGATAGAAGTCTTCTGAACTCATCAATAAAAAATGTTCAAATTCATCAATTCACCATCAAAGGTCTGTTCCAAGTCAGGCTGTCCTTGAGCCACCACCAGTGAGGAAGCCCATTTCACAGACTCTGATACACCATGCTAAAACATGGCTCATGTCCTGTGAGACTGTCTCAGTTCTGCTTTTCATAAACACCCCATACCCCAGTCTCATGACCACTGAGCACAGCGAAAGGCTGTGTAACTCCCAGAGGAACCTGCATGTCCACCGTTCCCAGCACCGCTTTATTTTGCAAACCCTTCTGCGCTCACCTGAGGTACCACCACATTTTCAGTTACTGATGAGATCTCAACTTCCATCAGTTGCTGGGAGCATGAAGAAGAGCCCCAGGTTTTTGGAAAAGGCAGAAGGCTACATGCGCCTTTCACCAAGTGATGAACACATGTCAGATGCCAGACCATAAGAGCCACAAAACGGCCTGCAAAAGGCTATTCCCAAAGCTCTGAATCTTGATGGCCCCAGTGTAATGATGTGCTGCTCACCCTCACATCACTGTTGCTGTATCAAGCAAGCACGTGAACCGTCCCAAAGACCAGAGCATCCATGAGGGTTAACCACTCTTCTTCCCCTCTGAGCAAAACAGTTTCAACCTTAACTTTTAAACACATTTGGTTTGGTTAAATGTATCCCCCTGGGAACCAGAGAAAACACCCAGAATGTAAAAAGGGCCAGATGATACAATGCAATTTTTTAATGTAGGGTTTGCTGCTTCTTTTTTTAATAGCACTTGAATTACTTGTAATGGTCAGCTGAGATCCTTCTTGTGCTGGCTGCTGTACAAAATCAAAGTGGTAATGAAGAGCACGACATCTAAATGAATCAGATAAGTCAAGAGCAAGATATATTTCTCCTCTTTTAGGGATGGAGACTTGAAACACTTCTCCAGCTTCCTTCCTAAAACAGACTCATGCTGGTCTGGTGGAACCTCCCAAAGCCTCGCTGCAGCTTCTCTGTGCAAACTATTCTGTTTCACACGGACCCAGAGGAGTGATGCAAAGGCAAAAAAGAGAACTTACATTTCGAAAGCACAGGTGAGGCGCTGCCTCCGCTCCGCACTGCTTCTGGTAGTCTGCCCAGTCAAAGTCCTGGCCAGAGTAACCTGCAGGATGACAAAACAGACAGTGCCATCAGACACTGCACACCAGAAAGCGGGCACAAAACGGGCCCCAAGGAGATGACTGTTTGTGTCTCAGCATCCCACCCCACCTCAGTGCACTGTGCACTATCAGCAGGCCAAGTCCTCTGGATGCCCGTTCACACACCATGAAAGCCAATGACATCGCTTCTCCAGCCCCCAGCCATCCACTTTTCACATTTAGCTTTGAAAACTCTGTGTCTTCCTTAGAAACTAACTAGACGTATTTCTTTTCCTCATTTTCCCTTTCCTGTAAGCATCTCCCAGGCTTTAATAAACCCATAACTATCAAGAAGTGCTACTGTCTTCACTTTCCAGGTGAGTCCACCTTTAGCTATCTAAAAGATGGGGTTATGGAGCTGGACATCAAGGGCCCCTCAGCAGTGGAGAGGGAGAGGAGAAGCACAGTCAGAAGCTGATCCATCAAAGCATGAGATAAACCCTGCTTTCTCTTCATTGATACAGGTGTACTCTGTATCACTGGCTTTCCAGCAGCTCAGCACATGTAAACTGAATCCCACCATAGCAAGGATGCTATCCAAGGCTGTATGGAAAACTGGAGCAGAGCAGGAAAATTAACCCACATTTCCCAGCTCCCAGACTACAGTCTCAGCAGCCAAATGGCCCCTTAAGCCTGTATTTCTAGGACAAAAAGGAAAACAACATTGATTTACATGGGTATCTCTCAAAGAGCCCACAACAGAGACACAAACCAGACCTGTGCTCATCCATTCTTCTTACCTGGCTGCTTAGGTAACAAATTTTTGGGACAGAAAGAGGTTTTTCCTTTGCTTTTTGAAGTGTTGGGTTTTTTGTTGTTTTGGGGTTTTTATTACTAAGTTTGGTTGGTTGCGGGTTTTTTTTATTTGGTTCTTTTTTTTTCCATTTGTCTCAGCCTGTTTTTAAGGTCCTTGAAACCAGCGAGTGCTAATCCTGTCCAGAGCCCTGTGATGATACTGTTATAACATTATTGCAGAACTCCTCTCACTGGAAAGTTTCAGGAGTCACCTAAAGGCCAAATTCTCCCCTCAATCTCCCTGCCTGGCATCTCAGCTTGGCCTCATTTCACAGAATATCCCTTAATGCCTTTTTCATTGATAGTCAAAAATGGGACACTCAAGATCAGGTGGGAATGAATCATTTATGACAATGAAAATTGTGAATTTTTTTGTAGGCAAGAAAGGACTGGAATACTGAGTGGAGTCATCTCTCAGTCACCCAGATCCGAAAAAGGAGGTAAAGAATTTAAAAATAAATTCCCAAGCATCCTGCTAAGATGCAAGTATCTGCATTAAGATGAACTTCTGAAGACTGCATACACAATAAACAAATTAATGAGATAAAGCCTTGAGCAGAAAGGGTCCTAAAAGGTGCTTGTCTCTGTGGGGCATCAAAGTGCATAATACTGGAAAGCTACAAACAAACACGCACAGGGAAGTAAAACAGGGCAATTGCTTATAGACAATGTTCATTTTTCATACAGAAAACCTATCCTTGCACTTTTTTTAACAACCCATTTCTGCGACAGCATTTTCTTTCTGCTTCTTCCCCATCTCCTTTTTGCTCTCCATTTATTTGTTTGCCAGATACTTTCCAGCTTCATAAAATGAAATGGAAAACAGGAGGAGAAGTGCACATCACGTCAGAGGGGGATTCATCTGATTGCATACAGATTTTTGCAGCGGAGATGCATAGAGCTGTGTCTGTCACCCTGTGTTCCCTAAAAAGTTAACAGAGAAACAGGCAGATTTAGGGTTATCTGCAGCAGGAGCAGAACTGCCCCGTGAAAGTCCCTCTCCACTGACTCCAGAAGCAGTCATGGTGATGGTCTTGGGTAGGGACAACCACAGCACAGTTGTCTACATTAAATCACCTGGAGTCTACCCCTTCTGCCAGAGCACGCTGCCCTCAGGCACCCAAAAACCTGCCTACACCCAGTGTGTTCTCTCATCTCCAATTTAAACCTCTGATGGACTGATTTTGAATCTTAATTGCAAGCTACACAGTCTTGGCAGAGTGGATGGAAAAGTCGCATTGACAAGGTTTCAGTGAGGAATTAAAACTTGACTGTCACCACACAACCATCTCTTGGCTTGGTCCTGCACCACTGAAATCACTGGAAGACCTTTTGCTGTA